AATAATTATAGAATGGGGAGGCTTGAGCAATGTTGGTCAAGTGTACTAGTGTTGGCAGTGGTGGTGATCGGATCCGGAGCTGTTCCCATCACTTATCTCCAAAGCGCCGTCGCTAAAGGAGCCGGTAATATTCAACAACGATTTACATACTTATATTCAGATACAAAAATTGTATATTAATCAAACAATACAATAGGTTATTGACACTTTCTATTTTATATTTTTTTTGTAGTGTGTTTGGATGGGAGTGCACCAGCTTACCATTTCGACAAAGGGTTTGGTTCGGGTGTTAACAATTGGATCGTTCATATGGAGGTAAGAGTTTTGATTAGTACACCGCGAAATGGAAGAATTGTTAAGAATGAAATAAATTTGCAAAATGAAATGACACATTTCTTAAAATTTATTGCCAATTTATTAATCAATTCATATCTTTATCCCTGATCTGACCAAATGATTGAAAGTATATAGTAACTTGCAATGTTATGTTACTAATAAAAACTTATGACATCGCGGAATCATTCGGTCATTCTAAGGTTACGAATTAGAATCAGAGCCAGCATTACTTATCTTTGATTGATTTATGGTTAATATCTGGAATTCTAGACCAAAATCCATATATATCTCCGTTTAGGAACTTAGTCTCCGTCGAAGCAGAGATCAAATAACTAGGGATCTTTGGAATCTCAACGTTTGGAAAGTCATATATAGGAGACACTACTAGATTAAGACCTACTTAGTCAACGTTACTTCTTGACCTATAAAATATAAATCTAATATGCAAAGTAAGCTAGAATTAGTTGAATCGAATTTGAATGTAGTATGAATGTTGTTATGTGTTTAGGGAGGAGGATGGTGTACCGACATCGCTTCATGTAGTGAACGTAAGGGTACAATGAAGGGTTCGTCCAAATTCATGAACAAAGACTTTGGCTTCTCCGGTATCTTGGGTGGCAAGCAAAATACTAACCCAGGTGTAAACTAATATCTATTTTATTTGATTTTTCCAATGATTCAACAATTTTGCATCTATTACTTGCTCTAGTTACTAACAGGGATTTATTTTCTTCAGATTTTTACAATTGGAATAGAATCAAAGTACGATATTGTGATGGATCATCCTTCACCGGAAATGTAGAAGCCGTTAATCCGGTAATTTAGTGATTAACTGTGGTATCCATCCCAAATATCACATTTTCTTGTAGTAGTTTATATTTTCATATTCAAAATTGGAAGTTTTATTATCGGAATTTTGATTCTTTTAAACAGGCGAATAAGTTGTTCTTCCGTGGGGCAAGGGTTTGGCGTGCGGTGATTGATGATCTTATGGCAAAAGGAATGAAAAATGCTCAAAACGTATATTAAATTAATATTTTTACATCTTTCTTTCTTGAGTGTCATTTTAAATTTCTTAATCTCTTACTTGGAAGAGGTTTTACAAAACTTTTCAGGCGCTACTTTCTGGTTGTTCAGCCGGAGCATTGGCAGCAATTCTACATTGTGACACTTTCCGGGCCATACTTCCCCGAACAGCTACAGTCAAATGTGTTTCAGATGCTGGTTACTTTATCCACGGGTACGTGTAAATATACATCCAGACTGCATTTATAATATAAAACCGTAACCGAAAAAATCGAATGGAACTTTATTTATAAAGCGATATTCTAACTATTTGAAAAGCCAAAACCGATCGAAATTGGTTTTAGTCTTTTAGTATAAACCACAACAAATGAAACCAAGTAAATGAAAATGAAAATTTATATAATATACTCCATTGTTTCAAATTATAATATGTTTTAAGAGATTTGTTAGAAGAGCTATTGATCATTTGATTACCATCACTAAATTGGATTTTGTGAAACAGCAAAGATATCTCAGGAGGATCATACATCCAATCATATTACAGTAAAGTCGTCGCCCTCCACGTACAACTTCTCTCTTTCTAATATCTCTCTTTTGTTAATACTCTTAAAGCATGATGATTATAATCGTAAGCACATTCTTGCTTTAATCATTTTGCAGGGATCTGCAAAGAGTCTTCCTGTTTCTTGCACCTCAAAAATGAAACCAGAACTCGTAAGTACTTAATTATCGATCCCAACATCATCGATCTCAGCATCTTCCGCAACTATGGAACGACATTAACGAGTTCTTTTTGATAATCTCTTGCAGTGTTTCTTCCCGCAATACGTTGTTCCTTTCATGCGAACACCGCTCTTTGTCATTAACGCTGCCTTCGATTCATGGCAGGTCCGATACATACATTATATACATGTCCATACCAATCAAATACATAATATTAAATCTAGCGAATTTTGCAGATCAAGAATGTTTTAGCTCCAACTTCAGTTGATAAAAGCAAAGCGTGGAAGAATTGTAAGCTTGATCTCAAGAAATGTACGGCCGCTCAACTCAAAACCGTCCAAGGTAAAATTCTCCATAACCAACCCGAATTTTTACCGGGATTTTTTTTGGTAATTAGATTAAACCGGGTTGGTTTAAATGTCTTCAGGGTTTAGAGATCAGATGATGCGTGCATTATCTCCGGTTCACAGTACACCATCGAGAGGATTGTTCTTAGATTCGTGTCACGCTCATTGCCAAGGCGGAAGCGCCGCTTCTTGGTCCGGTGATAAAGGTCCCCAACTCGCTAATACGGTAATAAAAACTTCACATTTTGTCATTTTCTTGATTTTGAATAAAATATCGATTTTTGATATTTTTGGTGTTTTTTTTTTGTAGAAAATCGCGAAAGCAGTCGGAAACTGGTTTTATGGTCGGAGTGCATTTCAGAAGATAGATTGTCCGTCGCCGATTTGCAATCCTACTTGTCCTGCAATCTCTACTGATGAATAGAAATCTGTTAAATTGTTTCAATTTCAACTTCGAATATTGTGTTTTGTTTTCCCCAAAATCATTAAGAGTTTCAAAACAAAACAATTGCAATTGCAAAATTGAATAAAAGAGTCGATTTTTCCTCTCAAATTTATACGAATTTCGAGAGAGAGAGAGTACACAAAGATTAGGGTCTATATTGATTTGGGAAAGTAAAAGCTTTCGACTTTACTTGAGGGTCGACGAAAGATCATTGCTTTATAACAAATTTGGAAGCGCATCGATGGATTCGAGTTTTGTGGACAGAGCTTGGCTTAAATGGGTTACGGCGGATCATGTCGGATCTTCCGGTAAGTTCTCCGATTAGGGTTTATCTTCTTCTTCTTCGAGATTCTTGTGCAGCAGAAGAAACTCAGAAGAAAAAAAATTAATCTTCTTTTGGTGATTGTTTGAAATTTGATTTCAGGAAGTCCATTGAAAGCTGCTGTTTTGATTAACTATGATCCTACAGGACCTTCTCGTCTCTTATCAACAATGTAAGCTAATTCATATTTGATTCATTCTCTGTGTTCTCTTCTGTTCAAAGATTGGGAATTTGCAGTAAAAGATCGAAATTTGATTCTGTCTCTTTCACTAAATCTGATGTGTGGTTAGTCTCTTCTGAAACTTGAGGTTAAATTTGAGTTCTTTGCTGAGCTGAACAAGAAGGGATTGATAAAGATCAAAAGCTTGTTAGTAGATTGAGATTTGCTGTAAAATATCCAAAACTGATTCTGAATGTTTCAACAAATTTGATGAATGCTTTGTATATATGTTTTGATTTCGATTTAGTAGCTTCTGGATAGTGTTTTTGTTTATTCAGATTCATATTTGCTTTCATTTTCTGTGTTCTGTTCAAAGTTTGTTGTTCTTAAGATTGGGAATTTGCAGTAAAAGATTGAAATTCTGATTTTGTCTCTTTCACCATATTTGATTCAAGGTTTGCATATATGTTTTGGATTTCGATTTAGTCTCTTTTGAATGTTGAAGCTGAATTTGAGTTTTTTGCAGAGCTCAACAAGAAGGGATTAATCTGTATCCAATTGAGTTGAAGCAATTCATCGATTTCATGAGACGCGGCAATCTTACTACCGAGACCTTTGTTCTTGGATCCAAACAATGTAAGTTTGCTTCTGCTTTTTCTCTTTTGCTATGAGAGTAATTAGTGGTTTAATTAACAGGACTTGGAAATTTGTAGACTTAGTAACATCAGTACACGAGGATTGGTTCGCTGCTCGGTGCTTAAACACTACACAGCCTGCTGGTGAAGGAGTTATTGTTATGCAGACCGCGGTTTACGTATTGGTTGCTCTGTGAGTTCACTACACGCTCTTTTCAATTGCATTACATTTCAATCTAGAACCAAGATAACATGGAAACGGTTTTGAATATTTTACTTGTGTTCTTCTTGCAGATATGATGGATCAATTGGTTCGGCTTCTGAAGCAATGGCTGCGGCTGATCAGCTTGCATCGGAGTTGAGTCGGAAAAACTTCTAGGTTGATCTTTTTGCAAAGATTGCTTTAAAAGACTATTCTCTGTTATTGAAGTAACCAACTTTGACTGTGTTGTTGCCAATGATATTTGAGTTTCGATAACTGGTTTTTCATTTTCTCTCATATTTTTATAACTAGAAATCCCATTTTATCAACAACTCATCTGATAAAACCCTCTACTCCAAGATAAGTTAAAATCTTTAATTTGAAGTTTTATGCATTCCAAAAGCAACCTCAAATTTTAAAGTTGAGTAATTTTAAGATCTTAGCCCCTACAATATACTAATATATGTGTACCGTTCTAGTTCAGTTAGTGGACTTACAATTTGGTCTTTAACAATTTGTATCTTGATCTACATATATAATTTTTTTTTTTAAAAACCTATTTATCACATATGAAATCATAAAGAAAATAGTTTTATGAGTAATTTGATATTTTATTAGTAATTTATAATTTATTTTATATGTAATTATATATTATAAAAAAATTTCAAATCTCAAATTTAAGGCCTAGCAAAACTCAAAAATGAGATTGTTCTTAGAAAAAGACAGTGAACGAATCTATATATATACAACAAAAAAAATTAAAACAGTTTTTTCTTTTGCTAGAAATCAAAAATCAGAAGCCATAACAAACAAAATTATGTTATTCTGTAATAGAAAAATCCAAAAGCGAAGAAACTAAACTTGTAAACATATGTTTTGAGTAAAGAACATAGAGGGTTGGGTTGAGATTGAAAGTGAAACTTCAAGACTTGACATGATTCACATGATGCTTTCTTGTTTTTTTGTTTCTAAAAATCCCAACACTTTGATTATCATCATCTAACTTTACTTGCTTCCTTTAAAACAGAGCATAATAAATCCAAAATTATTTACTCATTGCTACAATGTTCAATATGAGTTTTAATTGGTTTGGTTTTGTATATAGAAATAGAAAAAGGAGTATGTTTTTGCTCCTATTGAATTTCGGATTGAATCAGTTTATTCAGAGTAAAACATTTGTCACAAATTTAACATCCTTAACATATCTTGCAAGTACAATTAGCTGGAAAAAAAA